AATTATAGTTTCAATTCACGGAAACGATAAAATATGAACGAGATGGAAAAAATATTAGGCGGAATTTCACAGGTCATGACCATCCAAGAATCGTGTACGGCATCATTTTCTCTCAATTAAATGGAATCACTCATCAAGCATCGCTCATGTACTTCCTCTGTCTTGGCTTACTCATCCTCATGATAATCACCCTGAGCCATCTGCATAGGTAGAGCGTCTCTGCACTTGCAGCTTTTCAACACCTCTGCTGTCAGCCATCGCTTACCTTGCCATACAAGGAACAATTCCTCTCTGAATGCAGGCGTCCCTCTACTTTATTCATGCGTATCATATACTGACCTCTCAGTCGACGTTCTCCATCTGTCAGCTCCAACATGAGATGCTCATGGGATAGAGTAAATGGTTCATGCTTAACCAGCAGCTTGCAAGGCAACCTCTTTTCTTAATCTCCGTCTATGCCAGAACAGACTAGTCATTTTTCTATTATACTACAATGTAACTCTCATTATGCATGGAAGGGGAAGCCAATGCCGCTGAATGCCATTTTCGATCTTTCTTCAAAACAGTTGTCTCCATACCGTACAACAATAGGGTCAGCCGTCGCCCTGCGTTGAGTAGATGGTCTTGGTAGAAGATTTATCCTGATTCTTCATGAATTAATCTGGACTATGGTCATCGTTTACGCTACGAGAACGTCAGCAATCAATATCACTTTCTAACAGATAAAAGTGCTTTAAAATGTTTGACATGCGCCTTTAACCTAATCGACATGATAACTAATTATTAGTGAAATAATCAGCACACGGTGTAACAGCGAAGAAGGGTCATATATTAAGAAACAATCTGCCCACATTTCTTTTCTCCTCTAAAGTCAACAAAGATATTTTATTTTGAGCAACAGTAAGAGGCACCAGAATTTTATTTTAAGTTGATTTCGCACTAAACAAAGTATATGCAAGATTCCGTAAGTAGTGCTACTGCACGAGAGTACTTTTGATAGTAGCAGTGCAGCCATTCCTTATTACTTTGCAAAACTGAAGACTAATTTGGAAAGAGCATCAAGAGAAACAGACAAATGCACAAGAAGATTAAGTAGCAAGATACACAAAGAATCCCATGCTAATTAGCATAGGTGTTGAATATCAGTATAAGTACTGGTTATCATTCGATTTCGAAGACTGTCTTGACCCAAAACTGGGATATGATGAATCATCTTCATTGTCATTATCCGTATCCTGAGGTGGTGCAGCCAGGTACCGGTCACCAACTTGTGCGCCATAAGAGGGCAAGCTACTCCTCTGTCGTTGAAGACTACCACTGCCGTCAGATGGTTGCTGCTGAAAAGAAGAATTTGGCTGTCCTGTAGGCACTGAATAGTTTTCTTGCTCAGCTGTTTGAGGGTACTGTCGAGGTTCCTCGACGTATGGCTGCATATGGTAATATACATTGGGTGGTCCCCCAAAATTTCCTTGCTGTCCGGTCTGGCTTTCAACGCTTTCTTGAAAAGGCGCCGGCGCCGGAAATGAATACGCGCGATCCCCATCCTTGAATGCTGCCGATGATTGCTGAAATTCTGGATTTTCCGCCAATGGCTGATAACCGTTCTGAGTTTGCTCACTCATTTGAGGATACTCCTGACTCGCTGCTGCTTCAGGCTGAATGTATCTATCTTGATAGGCATGGGTTGGCTGAATGTGTTTTTGAGCAGACGATGAAAATTGATACTCGCCGGAGGATTTTTGGTCGCTTTGGCTGGACATGCTTCACAAGCAGTGAACAACTTTTCTACCCAGACTGCTGTGCGGCAGAACAACGGAGACTGTATACTGATATCAACATTACTTGTATTTAAATTACATGCGCGACAACAAAATTAAGTTTAAATCTGACCAGTGACTGCATTACAACGTAAGAAAGCTACTTTACACATCCCTTTTAGTGCTGACTTTAATTTGAGCA